CTCTCGCTCTCTCTCTCTCTCTCTCTCTCTCTCTCTCTCTCTCTCTCGCTCTCGCTCTCTCTCTCTCTCTCGGTCGTCTGCATCATCATCTGCACGGACTATAATATTCTAGTGAAGACGGTTCTGATCACTCCACATATGCGTTTTTTTGCCTGTATGAACAGCATAAAGTACATAAAGTCCATAAAGTACAATAATCTGTTATAAAAATGAAGGATCTTTGAAGGTTCTCAGCTGGTTGTGTTTACTCAGATTTTACATTAGACATGAACTTCATTATAAAATTCAATTTTCTAAATGGATAAACATTGGCAGAGATGATTTATAGAGTTAAACTTAAAAAAAAAAAAAAGGGTTCAAGCTCTTGGCAGACAAAATTTACAGCAACTTCTTTGTTGCAAGTGAACTTTTATTTAACATATTCTGTCATATATTCTTTTAGCGTTTGTACTTTTATGTCATGCAAACTGTCCATTTATGCCTTGTTTAGATGCATGTGCTCTAAAATATTGGTTTGATTGCAACACTGCCTTTGACGTCAACAACAAAACGTATGGGAAGTTTTTTGGCCTTCCTTTAATTTTACATTTATGTTACTATAGTAAGTATGCACAAGTAACACGGATTGTTATTAGTTTCATTTAACTTTTTTTTTTTATCTGTACCATCCACGAACCATCAGAACAATTTCTTTTTTGGACACTAAATATGGGTTTTCAGGTCAAAGAGGCTCCCAGCTAACAAAATATGTTCTAAGAATGTTTTTTAACGTTCCCAATAAGTTATAAAACGCTATTTCAGATTCAGCGTTCAAAACATCCACGTTTTTCTTGGTTATGTGAATTGAAAATGTCATTTTATCATTTTATAAACATGGAAATGTTACTTTTGAATGTTCTCTGAACTTTCTGAAACAAGTATCATTTAAAAAAAAAAAACATTAGACGAATGTCCAAATAAAATGTTTCAGGGAAAAAATCATTCCATGAATGATGTATAAATGTTTTTTTTGCAAACATCTTGACAACCTTATTAAAGACCAGATAACTCTGAATGAACGTTCTGAATTATGTTGTGATGTTTGTATCAGCTGTTTGGGCTCTCATTCTGACGGCACCCATTCACTGCAGAGGATCCATTGCTGAGCAAGTGATGGAATACTACATTTCTCCAAATCTGTTCCCATGAAGAAACAAATTACTGTCTTATGCACAGTACATACTGCATACTAAGTAGTGTGTATTTCATTCTGAATTTACACATGGCAACTGCAGCACTTGTTCATGGCTACTTGAACATGACTTAACCATCATTCTTTAAAGCTGTTTGTTTGCTCAAGGCCTGTTCGCTTAGAAAAAGCTTTACCTGCCGGTGACCCGCAGAGAGAAACAGTTTAAAAGCTGAAATAAACAGCACTTTCTCCTCTTGCTGTTTCTTTGCATCCATTAGTATGATATAAAGAAATGCGTCCATGGCTGTATATCTTAAGAGTCACTAAATCAATCTGAGTCATGCTGAGAAGAGGAGCTACTGATGGATCTGTGCTGCGTATTTACAAAACCCTCCACATCAGGTTTCACTACAAGAGGCCAGAGATAGATTTCCTTCTGACAGCACAAAACAGCAAACACAATGCAGATCAATGTGAGCAGAGAAAGCAGCGTTTTTGACTTAAAGGCAGAGTACGTGATTTCTGGTAGCCAATGATGATATTTGAAATCACCAAAACAAACACGCCCCTACCTCAAAAGGGTCTTGCCCCTATTCTGATAGCTCCGCCCCACACATACGTAGCAACCCAGGCAACGATTAGTTCTGTGAAACAAAGCAAAACCAATCTACATCGGAGGCGAGTGACGCAGCGCGACAAAATACTATAGAACTCATTATAATCAGTGATGCTGTCTACACCATAGATACAGTATATATACATATCTATGGTCTACACTGGATGCGGCACGGCACGACACAGAAAACTGTTGCTGCGTTCTATTTATGACGTGCTGACACAAATTGCAAATGGTTTTCAACGGTCGTTTGATCGCGTCCAAAAGGGTCTTGCCCCTATTCTGATAGCTCCGCCCCACACATACGTAGCAACCCAGGCAACGATTAGTTCTGTGAAACAAAGCAAAACCAATGTTACACCGTATCTACATCGGAGGCGAGTGACGCAGTGCGACAAAATACTATAGAACTCATTATAATCAGTGATGCTGTCTACACCATAGATACAGTATATATACATATCTATGGTCTACACTGGATGCGGCACGGCACGACACAGAAAACTGTTGCTGCGTTCTATTTATGACGTGCTGACACAAATTGCAAATGGTTTTCAACGGTCGTTTGATCGCGTCCAGTGTAGGCAGACTTTAGCTGTTGTAGACACGGTGTTACTCACCTATCGAGAAGAAACAAAACAACCTCGGCGTCCGATCGCAGGCCTCCGCTCCTTGAGTTCTCTCCAGCGCTGAAAAGCTGATCCGATATTTACACGGGTCCTACTTCTTGCCTTATCGTTACGCAGACATTTTCCTCTTTTGTTTTTTATCCGCCATCTCTATCTTAATGTCGCTCGGCTCGGCTAATGTCCGTCCTGTGCACTGAAAGCTCTCTCCTCCACATCATGAGTAGACACGCCCCTTATTGCTGATTGGCTACAAGTTTGTTTTGCTATT